GGTGGTCATATATCCTTCCCGTATATCCCTCCCCCTACCCATGTCAGCGTGTAAGCCCCAACTAGCCCTAAATTAATCCCTCCCTGAATCTATCATTTATTAACTGGTAAACCCAAACTTCCTTAACTTAGTGTGTTTCATTTTCCTCATCTGTAAAATGGGGACCTTGTAGGTTCCCATTGTTAGGAATGGAGTTCCATTTTATGGAAAAGTAAATAAGATAGTGGATAAAAAGTTGTCTTGCACAGAGAAAGTGCTTAATAAATGTTTTTGAGTGCCATCAAGTCAATTAGTGACCCCATAGAGTTTTCTAGGCTGTAATCTTTATGGAGGAGCCCTAATGGCACAGTGGTTAAGCACTCTGCAAGATAAAAATGAGGCAGCCTGCTTCTGTAAAGATTAAACTCAGAACCAAACCCAGTACATCAAGTTGATTCTGAGCTAGAGCTGGATGAGTCATAAAACTTATAGCCTTAGAAACCTTATAGGACAGTCCTACTCTATCCTATAGACTCACTATGAGTCAGAATCAACTCTATGGCAATGGGTTTGTTTTTCTGACATCTTTATGGAAACAAATCACCATGTCTTTCTCTCATAGAGCCCCTGTGTGTGTTCGAACCATCCGCTTTTGGTTAGCAGCCAATTGCTTAACCTTTGCACCAACTGGGCTCCTTCAATAAATACTGGCTTTTACTTTTACATGGGAGCTTTTACTTTTATCCAGGAGGCTGCCTGCTTCATAAGAACCCATGGTTCTGATACATACTACAGTTTGAGACCCAATTTTTTCAAAGAGCTGGGCAGTACTTCCTAAACTTTCTATTAGCCAGGAAAGGTAATAAACCCCTCCTCAGGCCTGTGGGTCCACCTGACCATTCATGAACATTCATGTAGATTTTGTCTTCACCTTAATCAAATTTTAAAAGCTGCTTTTAGTTTAATTTAGAACTCCATTAATACATGGAACTATTTTCAATTCATAAATTTAATCTATAGCTAAATGATTGACAGAGAATGAGCTCTGGTACCACACTTACGGCTTCTTATCCCAGCCCCATAATCACTCTGTGGCCTTGGACAAGTGAGCACCATAGAAGTATTTGCCATATTATTACCATTCCCTGCCCACCATGAGTGACCCTGTGGGTATCTGAAATACTAGTGGCATAGCCTCCAGCCTCACAGCAACACACAAGCCACCACAGTGCAACAAACTGCCAGACACTGGTGGTCACTTTGAATGTCACTTTGAAGATTATGATGTATCTAACCCAAGCCATAGTATTTTCAATCACCTCATATGCATGAAGGAAGACTCATTAACAACCTGCAATATGCAGACAACACAACTTTGCTTGCTGAAAGTTAAGATGCCCTGAATATTTACTTATAAAGATTAAAGACTACAGTCTGCACAATGTTTCTACAAGTGTATTTGTATGTTCTATAAGAATTCCCAGATATATAGTAGAGCTGACAAGGGACAAGGTTGTAGTCACTTCTTGGTCACAGCCAGCTACCCAGAGGGAATGAGCAGTTGGACCTGTGAGCTCAGGACCATAGTCGCAGGGTACATCAAGCTTATTTTGCATAACATACTACACAAAACGTTGTTCCACATCCTACTTTGGTGAGTAGTGATTGGGATCTCAAAAGCTTGCAAGCGCCCATGTAGATGCAACAATGGGTCTCTCCTCATCCAGAGCAAAGAGGAGTGAAGAAAACCAAAGACACATGGAAACAATTAGTCCAAGTAACTGGTACACCATGTGATCCTCAGCCCATACAACTATGAGACCAGAAGAACTAGATGGTGCCCAGCTA